TCCACCTCATCCGCGAAGGCAACCAATCCCCTCCTAGAGGCTGCCTTTGCCCACCCCTTGTCCCTGTCTGCCCCTGCTGGGGTTGAAGGCGACCAACTCTCCAACCCCGGCCCCAGACTCAGACAATCCCCAATCTGCCCTACTCCCAATAGGGCTACTGCCTCCCACCATGCAACACCCCTGTAGATGACGGACCGCGCTCCATGCTGTGATAACCCCGATCTGCAAGCTTGGCGTACTTCAGACTATGACTTACACACTTCCATGTCACCTTGGGCTATGTCCACTGCGATCTCCCTCAAGCGCCTTGTTGCCACTTCACCTTGCTACGTGGCGGCGCGGGAATCTTGCGTGGACCCCGTGAAACGGAGCGGTCCCCTGGACACGTCAACCAGCGACGTGGCGAAGACCAGGACCTAGGCTCACGGCGCGTGTGCTAGGCGCAGTCCCCTGGCCCCGTCGTCCTCATCGCCCGACACACTCGAATTTCATGGCGCGCCCAAAATATTCGATATCTCATGATCCACTGGACCATTTGATCTGAAATTTGGACCACCTCAGCTCCTCGACATAGACCCAGCGGTGGTCCAATTTTCAGCTCAGGGCGCGTGCCCAATCATGCGCAATCGTCGAGCGCGCACGTGCTATTTTCCTTGCTGCGTGCAGTTTTCCAGCGCGTGCGGCTCCTCTCGGTGGCGGTAACCTTGATTGATGATTGATGCTGCCGGGGCGCAGCGCTCCCGGTAGCGCTGCACCCCCTCCTCCTCCAATCCTGTTATCACTTCGACGACAGGTACGTTGTTGAGAGTTTACGCCTCTTTGATCTGAAATTTGGACCAACTCAGCTCCTCGACATAGACCACCGGTGGTCCAATTTTCAGCTCAGGGCGCGCGCCCAATCGGGCGCAATCGTCGAGCGCGCGCGCGCTATTTTCCTTGCTGCGTGCAGTTTAACAGCGCGCGTGGCTCCTCTCCGTGGCGGTAACCTTGATTGATGATTGATGCTGCCGGGGCGCAGCGCTCCCGGTAGCGCTGCGCCCTGGCATTCCCATGCCACCGAGTTTCATTCAGCAGCCGCCAGTAGCGGCGTCGTCAGGCACTGCATTGTAGCTCCTATATGATAATCCATCTTAATCTTATTCCATCCGCTTCTACTTCGCGATTCGATCAACCTACGCAACTTCTTCTTTTTTTTTGGGATTGTAGCTCCTATATCCATAATCCATCTTATTCCATCCGCTTCTACTTCACGATTCGATCATCCTACGGAACTTTTTTTTTTTCTTTTTTTTTTTCTTGGGATTGTAGCTCCTATATCCATAATCCATCTTATTCCATCGGCTTCTACTTCACGATTCG